TCCTCCACATGGAGGAGAAGTCTGGAAAGCTGCTGATTGTTCTCCTTTAATCAATCATCTCTATTGATCCATCTCTTCCTCTGCATGTTCTGTTCTTCCCCAGAGTGTAAAGGAGACTCAGTGACGCAGACAGAAAGAGAAGTTGTTGCTGCTGCAGGAGAAACTCGGACTCTGGGATGTACTTTTGAAACAGCTTATACGACACCCACATTGTTCTGGTATAAACAAGAAGTAAACAGTTTCCCAAAGTACATGCTGAAGCGTTACTCCAAAACTGCAGAGAATTCTCCAGAGTTCAGTAAAGACAGATTTGATTCTGATCTCAACACCAAGGCAAAAGAGAAATCCTTCAACCTGACGATCCAGGATCTCCGTCCGTCAGACTCTGCTGTGTACTACTGCGCTCTGCAGCCCACAGTGACAGGAAACACCAGAACCCTGTACAAAAACCTGCAGTACTCCACAGCAGCCACTAGAGGGCCTCACTCCCTGTTAAGCCACTAAAACCTGCAGTACTCCACAGCAGCCACTAGAGGGCCTCACTCCCTTTAATCCACTGGTTGTTGAGTCTTTGGACTGAAGACAACAGAGATGTGATGTTGCGACTGAAGTCGGTGCAGAAATACTCCAGGAAGTCTGCAGACATGTGTAACACCTGACATTCAGCATCCCAGAGTTTTACAGACTTTCTAAAATATGTTAAATATCTTTAACTGTTCAAATCTCAGAGAAATTCGATCCTCTTCTGCTCACTTTAGTCATGTGTCCCTTCAGGCATACCGTATGGAGAAGCTGGTTTCCTACATATGCCAGGAAAAGGATTTCTGGAGATGTTATCACAACTGCTGAATTGACTATCAGATCACAGAGGCATCAACACAGGCAGGTTGCATTAATAAAGTATGAACTTGAGTTTCAACGTTTTAGATTTTTTGCATAGTTGAGTCCAGGGGTATTTCATTGTAGCCACTAATCCAAAAACCCCTGGAGGTCAAAGGTTCAGTCCTTCGGCTTGCAGTCGGCCCAGATCAACTTCCTTCATCATCAGAACACTTCAGTAATCTCAAACTATTGATTTCAAAATTCACATTAAAAATAACTTTATTAATACCAAAGGGAAATTAAATGTTGTAACTCATTAATTTAGATTCTTCAGTTATTGAAGATGCTGATGGCAGGAAAGATCTCCTGTAGCAGTCTGTGTTACAGTGAATCTGAAGAAGCCTCTGGTCGTCTCTGATGAACCAACAACTGCAGATTAATCTGAGTGTTTCTGTAATCTGAGTGTTTCTGTAATCTGAGTGTTTCTGTAGATGACAGGAGTCAGACTTATTCTGGAGTCCTGAAGTGTAGAGAGAGAAAAGGAACGGAGAGAGAACAGAGCCACAGCTCGGTCCTCCAGTCTCTACCTGTGGTCTGTCATCAGGTGTCATGGATCCAGGTGAGGGCCAAACTGCAGGGGGTCCTGATATGAGCTTGTTCAGGTGAGCCTGATGATGATGATGTGTTGTCATGGCAACTGGCCTGTAGTCGTTGATGACTAAAGTCCATCAGAAAGCAGCTGAAGCTGAGAGTCTGTTAAACAGGAGGAAGAGGAGGAAGAGGAGGAA